AAGTTTCATACCAACAGCTGAGCACCGCGAAGCCTACATGGAGATTCTAGCTTGGCTTATGCGAGGAGGCTGGGTGACACAGTTACGTACCTTTGCCTGGGTGCGTGTGACACCCGAGATCAAAGCTCAAGTTGCCACGGAAATGGATCGTGAAGAGCGGATTAAGAAGGCGGAAGAGGCGCGTAAAGAATTGCTCGGGGACAATGAATCAAACGCGAATAGTTTGCTTTCTAACAAGCGTAACAGCTTACTGTCTTTGAGCTCCGTAAGGACATCATCACCGTTACGACGCACGAGAAGGGATGGAGAAGATGAGATGGAAGCGAGCACAATTCTGAGCCCACGACTTTCTTCTACAGCAATGACACGCAGCTCTTCTGCGCGGACAGGCTCGGACGCCGGAAGCACAACTAGTCAACAAACAACGATTGCGCTCAACCCAGCCCAACGAGCCGAATCACCATCACACATTGGTCTTCGAGACGTCAGGCCGCATCGACCCTCGCCACTGCACCTGAAGCCTACTTCTCCCTCTCCGTCTCGCAATTCCATCGTCTCTCCGACCTCTCCCCTAGAGAAACCACTACCCATGGATCCCTCATCCTTCACCCACACTACTATTCTCTCGCCTCAAAAAGCATCTTCTCTTGAGGCCCGATGGTTGGACAAGATTGCGCAGACTTTTGAAGAGACTGGGGTAGAGTCTGCAAATCCAAGCCCTCCCAAAAATACCGACGCCGGATTTGGGGGCATAACGGGAAAAGAGCTAAGAGAAAGTTGGCCAATGCTATTGAGGCATTTGGATGGTAAGCATGCGATTGAAGATGTGTCAGCTAGAGAGGGGATTAAGCGGAAAAGGGTAGCAGCACTGTTCAACGCTGTCAAGGAGAGAGGCTGGCTTGTCATCACACGGCATTGGTGAGGTGGATCATATTTGGTTGTATCTAAGCGCCGAATGAGTGGTGGAATCATAGCCCATTGTAAGCGGATGAGACGTTCTATGGTTTGGGGCTTGCATAATTCCAGCCTCAGTCTTCTCAATATCAGTAATCAGAGCATTGCAGAGGCTGATTTAGAGTGTTGACCTTTCATGCGGCCCGAATGCGCAATGCACGTCATCCCGAGATTGCAAGCGTCGCAACGCACAGGCCAGCGGCCTGTCAATTGCGCTACAGTAAGTTTATCCAAAGCTCACTCCACCACAAAGTACACATCCATCTGCGCCGTCCCTGCGTCATTGTAGTGTCCTGGATACGTTTTACATCTACTCAATCGATTTCGCTAAACAATTGCGTTGCTACTATGAGTAATCTCGGTGGAGCGGGCTTGGGACAAAAAGTCCAGAAGCCGAACCCGTAAGTGCACCTCAATGCATCTGTCGCACATTACAGCGGTAAAGAAGCCGATAGGAGACTGTGTTGTTATATGATTTCCTTGCATAACTTCTTGACTAATCAAAAATATGTAGACCCGAACGTGGATCATTCCCTCTTGATCATGACGGTACGTTTTCCTGTGACTTGTCCCTTATCATTCTGGCTCGCTCGTTCAATCCTGTCTATAATCTCCGTATCCAGATTCAGCTGCTAACAACCTGATCAGGAGAATGCAAAAGCATCATGATGTCATATTTACGATGCATCAAATCCCACCGGGGAAGCAACGATCCTGAATGCCGCAACCTTTCCAAATCATACCTCTCTTGTCGCATGGACCGGTACGTCGACTGCCCCGCCGGCTCTACAACCACACTCTTGCAGTATATTAGACAGTTTTATAAAAAAGTGCTTGGCTCACATATTTTGTGGTAACAGGAATCTTATGGCACCCGATTCTTTCAAGAATCTAGGATTTGGCGACGACAACGAGAGTCCTCAAACACTGCAGCCCCAAGATCAAAGGAACACTCCGAAAGCGTAAACAGGAATCGCTGAATCAATAGATAACAAGGGTTCATGCAGCCTGATCAGCAATCGCACAGCATGTGAATAGCCGAGCCTTCACACGAACCCCACTGCTATCCCTCGCTGCCTCCTTCGACTTGGCGAACCGTATTTCGCCACCGGCTGAGACCCGCCATGCGCATCATGCAACTGCTCAGCAGCCGTGACAGGTTACATTGACAAGACGACATGCATGCCAGGGCGCGGGGCATGAGACACCACATGGGTCGAAAACGGGGGGCATGAGAACTGAATTGAAATGGCTAACGACTGATATGGAACCAGGGTTGCATGCAGCAGAGGCAAGCAGGGAAAAGGACACTTACACCTACAGATAGCCAGCTTGGTATGGTGCAGCTAGATGCTTGCAAAATATTTGAAAGGATGGGCTGTGACCAAGTGCGCTACGACAGGTGGAGAAACAGCGCGCAGTTCAAGGGCCATATGACTGCTTTTCCTTGAGGCACCCTCTTTTTTCCTTTTGTGTGAGTGGGGAGAATGGGAGGGGGTAGGGGGACTGGGGATGTGAGAAGGCGGGGTTCTTAGCTCTATACAATCACACCTCTTTTCTCTCTCTTTTTTTTTGCTTTTTGCTCATCTGGAAGAAAAAAGTTATTGCCGGATCTAACCACTATTACTATCACCCCAAAGTATCAGTCTGACATCTAGCATGCACAAAATATGCACGCAACCACACCTACATACATATGTTTTGATTCCCATGCATCGCAACCATCTTGAGTTAGCATGCGCCCATGTCTCGGTTGCCACGGCAAGCATCCTCTAGCTTCCACCATATGTCTCTCTTTTTGAACTTCTGCAAAAGAAAAAAATCTCAGATCCAAGACCCTGTTTCCTGTCGATCGCCTTCTCGAGTGTGCGACTGTTGTACAGGGGGTGGGAACATGCTCACACACACACACACACAGAAATGGCTGACACACAAAGGTTCCGAGTAGGGATCGACATGTCCAACCCCTCCCCCCCCCTCCCACACACACCCCCTTTGCTTTCCCTACTACGAGACTTTGTCAGATGCCGATTTTTTCGTGTTGCGTTACGCAACACCCCCCCGGTTGCGCCATCGAACTTCTCGGGAAGGGGGTGGTGGTGGTGGGTGCGTAATGCGTGATGCGTATGTTGTGGAGGCGTAAGGGTATTTGTGTGAGGATATGGTAGTTTAGTAGGTGAACGAGGGTTGGGCGTAGTAGTAGTAGTAGTAGTGGATATGTGGTTTATTATATGCATGTAGAGGAGATGCTTGTAATGTCTATGCTATTTGTTTGAGGTAGAGCGCGTGGTGGTGCTTGACTTGACGACTTGGAGGTGAACGGGCATAGTGGAAAAGAGTGAGGTGACGGAAATCAATGAATACTACTACTACTACTACTAGCATAATAGTTTCTATGTTCATGGCCTTTGGATAGACTTCACATTCTGAAGCATACTTATACTCTGCAACGCGATAAATCCAAATACCCTCTCTTCTCCCCTCCCCCCCCCCAGTTCCCTACACTTCGCATACACGGCTTCGGCTACCTGCATACCCCCCGTAGCACACGCAACCGTTTTCCTTGCACCACTACCAAGTTTCGTGCTTCCACACCTTCTTCCATCTGATTGGCTGCGGGTCTGCAGACCGCGCGGGCTGCGGGTTTGCGAGGAACACCACCACCACCAACCACCACCAACCCTAGAGATCGATCGGCGCCGTGGGCGTTGTACGCATACAGATGTCTAGTGGATACGTAAACACTGCTTTTGGGGGGGGGGGGAGAGGGAGGAAGTGAGAGACAAGTATAGCCTGCAGTCTGCAGCCTGCACTGCGCATCAAGCACAAAAAAGTTGCCAAGTAGTAGTAGTAGAAAACACATCGCCACTTGAGTAGTATTCACACCCAAAACTTCTTGTTTCCCAAGTCCCTCCATAACCCTAGTCTTTTTTTCCCCCAATCTCCCCTCCCTAGTCAAAAGAATTCACCCCATGACATGTTATTTGCCTTCGTCCTCCAAGCCCCAAGCCACAAGCGCCCCCAAGGCACCCACCACCACTAACATACATGTCCGCCTGAGACAAGAGAGAAAGGAAAAAAAACAGGTACCTAGCCTTCTATGCACTGCCCCCCCCATCCCTTGCCTAAAGTCTCGCCCATCTCAATTCCCGCGGGACCAAAAAAAAAACAAAGCCAAATCGGAGGAACGATAAAAGTAATAGTCCTCTCAAGAAACAAACAAGGGACCTGATCTACTTGGGCTGGGGCGGCATAAACCTCCGAACTCCATTGCCCATTCTCCCCTCCCCCCCTGCCTCACTTTCGTATTTCCAATGATCGCAAGACTTGATTTCTTCTTCTTCTTCTTCTCTCTCTCTCTCTCTCTCTCTCTCGTTCCCGTAATAAAAAAAGAGAGAGAGAGAGAGCTAAGTCAGGCGATTAAAACGGTGTGCGCCAACAGTCTTTTTTTTTCTCTCTCTCTTTTCTCTAGAGAAAATCTGATGCAATTACCACAAGTAGTTTGAAACAATGTGTGTGCTAGGGGCAGGCGTGATTTGAAGGAATTGTAATTTTTTTTTCAGTTGCCTAAGGGAGAGGACCTGCCTGAATCGAGAGTATTTGGTATGTTATCAGCCTTCCGGGATTCAAGACATTGGGCTTGGTTGCCTGAAACCGGTTCCCCGGGTGTTTACTTATCGCGGTGAACCCTTTTCAGATAACAGGAAACTTTATTGAGGCGTCATGCTGGTTGCCCTTTATGATGCTTACCTGGAGGACAAAGGCGTGGCTGCCTGCAGCGCCAAAGAGCCTCATACTAGGCGACCACAACACGAACACGATGCACATGTCAAAGATGTTTTTGTTATGTCATGAGATTGAAACTAAAACTAAAACAACCAGTGCCTAACGAAAACAGAACGCGAGTGAACAAACATTCCCAAACAGCCAATCATAACGCAGAACCTCGTCTTCCCCAGTAACATCAGCGTCAGATACCACAAACGCCATAAATCGAACACGCCGATCCATGCTAATGATGTAACCTCACTGTCCATAACCATATATTAAAAAAAATCAGAGTGGTGATATGCAAACCTGAGCCGACAAAACAAACAGTACATGCCATAGATATCCGAAGAAAGATCAGTAAGAGAGATAGCAAACAAAGGGCCATAGATCTGCCAAAAAAACAAAAACAAAGCCATAACCATGAAACAGACATATGAGATTGCCATGTAATGGGTGATGATGGGTGTGTAGAGCCCGGCGTTGACATCGTAAAGACATAAAGGACTCGGTAGTAGCCTAGATTCGTAAGGAAGCTCCAAGGACGCCGGGTTGATGATGTGCCATGAGTGTGGATAGATATATTACGCAACGAGATGGGAAGTGCTATGATGCAAGCGGAAAGCTTTGTCCGTCCTTGTCCAGCAGAGACGGTACACATGGAGCCGTCATATGTAAATGTTATTCCACCATGCGGATAGAGTCTGACTGTGATGGCTCCAGGGTATGCATACAGCAGGATGCAAGAACGGATGCGGGGGTATCGCGGGGTATCATAATGAAGGAATCGGCGAAAAGACAGATAGGCCAACAGTAGGAAAAGACTTCTCAAAGGGCCTCGCCTCAGCCCATGTCCATACCGTACTCGTCTTCCTCCTTCAGGCTGGTCCAGTACTGCGGCTGGTTTGATCCGGAACCGCTACCAGTGCTTTGCATGCCTGGACTAAGGCTCTGTGGTGAGACGCCGTTGAGGGGTTCACCAGCCAGGTTGGTGTGCTTTGGTACTCGCAGACCTGAGCCGGGGCCGCGCGAGTATCTGAAAGTACCAGCGCCGTTCTTCTCAAGCGCATCGAGGATCTCCGTCTTCATGCGCTTCTCGTCCTCGGACTGTTCGACAGACCACTCTTCACCAGTCGCTTGCTGGAGTCGTGCAGCCAGCTCATCGCATTCCTGAATCTTCTTGGACAGCATCCACATGAGATCACGTGTCCAGCTAACGGCGCCGTTGAGAATATCACCCTTGTTAGGACCCTTGTCCTTTTCTTCGATGGGCAGACCTTGTGTAATGTTACCGGCTGCTCGCCTTCCACTTCCGCCAGCTAGAAGTGACGTGGCTTGTGGTGGTGACATACCGCTAGTAGCCATGGTGGGTGAGAGTGGGCCATTGTTGTTGATGTGCTTGCGGATCTTTTCATCCTCAAGACGGTGCTGAGGTACAAGACGAGACAGGTCGTGGATGCGCTCGTTGATGTTGTCCCTGCGGCGACGCTCCACCAAGTTGTGCGATTCGCGGCGTCGGCGCTTCTTAGCGTCGGCGTTTTGACCAATATCAACCTTGGCGGGGAGTGAGTTGTGCTTGCCCGAATGCAAGACGTCGGTGATTTGCTGATGATGCAGACCGCCAGTGTGGGGTGATGCCGTAGGCGAGTCGATCCATGAGTGGGCACTTCCGGGTGTTCCCTCCCACTGGCCAGACATGCTCTTGTGGTGTCGGTGCATGTTGGTCATGATGGGCTGAGTGTTGGTGAAGTTACCCGAGTCGGGTGTACCAAGGTGGAGACCAGCCATAGCAGGCGTCTTAGGCGACATGGGAGCCCGGTTGTCGGAGGTGGTCCTGCTCATTGTGATACGCTGGCGCATAGAACCGCCAGTTGGCATACTGCCGGAAAAGCTCCTCATCTGCGATCCTGACTGGTACTGGTTGAAGTCAAAATTGCCAGGGTGTACAAAAGGACTGTGAATGGGTAGATCGTCTGGGGTGTTGGAATAGACCTGGTTAACGCTGGCATTGTTGGCGTGGCTGTGGTAGTAGTCCTGCTGTTGACTCATCTGGTCCTGAGAAAAGTTGTTGAAGCCAGCAGGCTGCTCAAAGGTGCCAAGGGACTCGGCAAGCTCGTCATCAGCAATGCCAGCACCCCCCTGCATGTAGCTGTTAGTGCCAAAGTGGTTGCCCATCATGTTTCCGTTCATGTTGAGCTCCGAAGGGTTGATGCCACTTGCGTTCTCGTGTCCGGAGAACTGGGCGTTGTTGTATTGTTGGTTCATATCCAGGCCATTGTGGCCCATGAACCGGCTGTTGAAAGACATGTCGTCGACTTCTTCTTTGATATATGGTTGAGGTGATCCTGTACCATTCATGTTGAAGATATCAGCGTCTAGCACGTCGTCAGAGGGGGACTCGAAGCCAAGGTCCAGCCTCGCAATCGGCTTCTGGGGAGAGTAGGAAGAGGGAGGAGTGAAGAGAGCGTCCGCTTCAGGGACAGTTAGTATGGTTCCGTAGTACATGATGGAAATGACGGAACGGAAGAAAGGATGTTACTGAGCGAGCAAGATTCGCCGACGAGTAGAAGGAATGATATAGAAAGCAAGAGATGCAGATCAAGTGGAACAGAATGGTGCTCTCATGACAATGTAGGATAAAACTGACGTTACCAAAAAAAAGGCGTACTTACTAGGCTTTGGCATTACTGTGGGTTGCAGTATCCCAGAGATGTGGATGTGTGTGGCCGAGGGCGGTTGCTTGTGCCGAACGTTGAGATCTGAAACGATCTATCGTCGGCTCAAGCCAGTGACCAAGGGACGCACTCGCAAGCTGGCAGAATGGTTGCAGCACGAGACGGCCTGTGTCCCTATATGGGAATTGACAGACGCTTGCTATGTGTTGAGCACAAAGAGGGCGCGAGCAAGCTAAGGAGTCTTTTAGAGCGACGCCTGATACTCGCTAGCAAGCCTCTGGTCTTGTTGGGAGAGGGAAGCTAATGTTTGTCTGTGGGAAGGGCATTAGCACCGTGTCTGGCATGGACGAGTCATCTGTCACGGAAGCTACTCACTTCACTTGTCTGGGCAACGGAAACCACGGGTTGGATGTTCCGGAGATGGTTTATTGGCGGGCGTGGGGGAAGGCAAGGATGCGGCCTATCTTCGGAGCCAGATTGCGGGCTGCGGCGGGTGATTGTGGCTGTGGGCCGAATTTGGACACTGAGAAAGACATGTCAGCGCACAGTCCAACAGGGCAAGTGTTGGGTGGTTGAAGGGTCGGGTGCATGCGTGTGGCGCACAGATGGGTAACCCGCGAGGCAGGCAACGGAGGACGACAGCCGTGCTGCACGCCGGCACTGTGGGGACCGTGGTACGGGAGGACCAAAGCAGCGAAACAGTGTCACTGCTCCGGGGTGGTGTTGGGGCTTTTTTTTGTTTACAGCCCAGGCTGAAGCGCAGCACGGGGACAGTGACGATGGTGGTGGTGAAGTGGCGGTGGTGGTGGTAGGGAAAGAGGGAAGGAGGGAGGGGTGGTGGTAGTGGTGGTGGTGGTTGTTCAAGGAAAGAGCACCGAGCAGCGTTGACTCACCTTGGGGGTTCAGCAATGCTCAATGAAGATGGCAGCTGGAAGACTCGGCTTCTCTGTTTGGGAGAGAGGTCGAGTGGACAAGTTGGGAGAATAGCCGGCTACTTGCTGGTGTGCAAGAGGGAGCAAACTTGGCGGTTGGAGAGTGAGGTTGAGGGTAGTGGTGGTAGTAGTAGTGGCGGTGATGATGCCGAGGGGAGCCTGTTTGTTGTCGACGGGGGTGAGAGCGGGGGAGCTTGGATAGGCGTCGAGGGGGGGTCTGTGGGAGTGGAGAGGTGTGTTGGTGTGCGTGGTGGGATGCGTGGTGGGATGCGCAGTGAGGGCTTTGGTGCAACGCGGTGGAGGGGTGGGTAAAATAGCAGGAGTGGGCTCTGGAGTAGGCGGTCCGGGGGGTTAGTGGTGGGGAGGGCGGTGGCAGGATGTTCCCAGTAGCAAGCGGTGGATGAAGCGTGCTAGGCGCGGTGCAGGTAGTGGTGGATGGGGGCAGGAGGCGCGATGGGAGCGGCGGCCCAAGTGTGCAACAGGTGTGCAATGGCTGCCGCGGCTCTGAGAAGAGGAGAGACGGGGCAGCTCAAGCGAGGGAGCGAGGGCGCGGTGTGGGAGGAGGCCCTAGGCCGGAAGGCGGTCAGAGAGGGTGGTCTTCTTAGTCGGGGCGTGCCAAGCAGCGATGGCCGGCCGGCGAATCAATCCGTGGCAGCGAACTACTAGCCGATGCCGTGTGGCAGCGGTCGAGGACAAGCGGGCGTCCAGTGGGCGAGATGCAGCAACAGGCAGAGGCAGAGCAATGGCGACAGCCGCTGCAGTGGTTTGCGCAACGCGGCGCCGAGCGGGTGACGTAGGGCGTAGGCGACGTTGTGAGATGGAGGGGAAGGCCGGGCCGGAGGGGCACTGCGCTGGATAGATGATGGTATGTGGTAGATTGTGTGTTGCGAGAGCGGCGGGATGGCTGGATGGCTGGATGGCTGGCTGTCGGTGTCTAGTGTAGCGTGTGTTGTATGTACATATATATATATATGTACGTGTGAATGTAATGTAATGTAAGATGCGGGTGGATTACTACAGCTACAACTACTATGTAGCATGCATGGATTGCAGCAAAGGGCGAGACAGACAATTATTGGGCCAGCGACGGACGCGGCACGGCGGCATAATATACTCTGGCTCAGCAACTGGCAACGCGCCTCTTCTGCTCGCCGTGCCTCTGCCTGTCGCGCGTCGCATCAGGACGAGGCAGTGTGCAAGCCGCAAGCCTACAGTCCAACCCTGGCGATGCGGACACCATCCGGCTTGCAAGTGGCCTCGTCTGGTCACTCGCAAGCCGTCGTGTCTCAGCTACCCGGCCCTGCCAGTGCTGCCAGCCCTGGTAGACGACGCGCGATGTGACTCACTAGCAGGCCCGCAAAGGACGTCATCTACCTGTTGCCCGACTTTCCAAGGCAGCCCTGGGGCCCGAGGGGGTGTGTGCAAACGGCCATGTGTGTGCATGGTATGGCCATGGGTGCGGGTGAGCATTGTGCGGGTGTGGGTGTGGGTGTGGGTGCGGGTGGGCATGTGTAAGGACTGCGCTAACCCGACTCGGCCGTGTGGTTCACCCAGCATTGCGAGTCGCAGCGGGAGGCGATCGCGCGCTAGTCGCTGCAATGGCTGCAATGGCTGCAAAGCCCCAGCACGTCCAAGTGTGCAAAGCATGGCAGGCTGGCACTCGCACCAGCTCGCTCTTGCTCTCTCTTGCACGCGCCGCTACTCCGCTCCTAGGCGGCGGGTAGATTACACTACACTACCGTGTACATTCTCATCTCCCATCACCGATCTGCTCTTGCTCTAGTAACTGTAACCACCGCCTGTCCCTTCCCAGCCAATCACCTAGGCCACAGCCACACCTCCGCCCCCCCGGCCACACTGGAACGCCCTCGCCCTCGCCCTCGCCCTCGCCCTCGCCGCCTCGTCACAAGCCTCGCCCACCCATCACCGTGTCTGAGACGCCTGTCTGACTTCTGCCATTGGGTCTCCGTCGCCTACTCCCCCCCCCCCCAAGGCCGACTCCTACTGTACAGTACTCTACACCGCACGGACATCATCTGCACGAAATCCTCCGGTCCGTGGGCAGTTGTTCCCACTCGAGCAGCAAGCATCCCACGACTGCACGCATACTTGCAACCTCGTCGACATTGCCCGCCGCGCCAAGCACAACCTACCCAGCTTCCTGCCAAAAGTCCCGCCCTCTGCAGCTACGGCACTTCCCTAGCATCCCTACTATCTTCTTACCCAAGGCCCGATCCTCTCTGGGTGTCGCCTGTTGCGGCTTCTCCCAAAGCTTCGCTGGTACCCAAGAACCCAAGTCGCGTCCTCCGCGCCCACGCCTATTTCTGCTAGTCTCCATATACGCTCGCGACCGCCGTGTCCACCAGCAGGTTTCTTCTGCTCAACCACACGGCGCTAGCATCTCGTGCTCCTCCGCCCTCCACCGCTACAACCCTCTCCTACAATGGCATCCGCTTCCTTCCGAGAATCCATGAACTCGCTTGGCTGGTCCAGGCGCGAGTCGCAGGCCCCCGTGAGCACCGCGCCGCCCTCGCTGCTCGATAGAATACAGAACCTGAATCCCTTTGGCGAGGGAGGCTACGTGCGACTGCCTACCACCGAAACAAACCCCGGTGCCCCTCTGCCTGCCCCAACGCGAAGAGAGGAAGAAGAGGGCTGGTTTGCGCGTAAGTCGCTCCTTCTTTCCTTCCTTCCTTCCTTCCTTCCTTCCCTCCCCCTCTGCTCTGCCAGTGGCAAAACACGTCCACCTTCCTTACGCGTCGTTTCGCGCCTCGTAATCCCCTGCTGTACTTTCGATTGCGCGATGTCCCTCGATCTTATATATTTCCCTTACAAGCACCGATATCACCGACTGGCCCATGGCTCGTGGTGTCATCAGCCGACGATGCTTCCGGGCTAGTTTCACATGCACAGCCTTGCTTCTTTGTCTCCGCATCCACATTTTTTCCCGGCACATGGCAATGTTGAAATGAGCATCCACCCAGTAGTGGGATTCCCAGTTTTTCCCTTTCCTCGACCTGTCATCTGCTCCTGCTCCTGCTCCTGCACCCGGCAAAGTCGCCGTGCAGCCAACCGTCAATGTGACAGGAGGGAGTTCCTGCGTCACCCATCTCTGCATGCACGACGCTTGCACTCTTCACTCTGTCTATCTTTGAACAACGTCTCTCAGTGCTGACCAATACTCGCAGTAAGTCGGTGGGACCGGTTGCTCGTTTTTGGCGGCCTGCTCCTTGCTGCCTTGGCCATGTTTGCTACATGCATTGGCCTCATGTTTACGCCTGTCTTTTTGGTTAGGCCGCGCAAGTTTGCCATCTTGTGAGTTATCTGCCTCCCCTCACTGCCCCTCCCCCCCTTCATAGCCGCCCGGCTCCCTGTCCTCCGCGCTACCTTCCTTTGCCCTGGTAAAGGTGATCCCAGACAGAGAGATAGACAGTGGCACATGGTCTATCTGTTCGTCGGCACGGCTATGCGAACTCATGCAACTCGTTCGACTGCTACACGTCCCCGCTCATGTCCTGCGGATGGCAGCTTTGACGAATCGAATCCATGTGCCACTTGACCTCTCTAGACACTGTAACATCGGCACTGGACCCCTCTGCAGCGATCATGCGGGTCCAAGGTTCGGCGCGCTGCAGGGTACAGACAGCCTTCATCGAGTCAAGACTATATGCCAAGCCTCATGCACGTCACCTGAAAAACGCTAGTGCTAACCACCATGGTCTCATTCTAGATGGTCTATGGGCAGCCTTCTCTTTCTAGCTGCATGGGGTGTCCTGATGGGCCCGATACAATATGGTAAGCAAGCCTTATTTGCACCAACATCACCACTCATCACCTCAAACCCACACCCTTTCATCTCATCATTACGCTTCCACACACCCACTCACAGAGTGACTTGCATTTACCCTTTACTAATCCCACCTCTAGTTCATCACCTTATCTCCGGCCCCAGACTTCCGTTCACAGCCGCGTATTTTGGCAGCATCGTCCTCACGTTGTATTTCTCCCTAGGTGTAAGTCCATTTCCTAGCGTATTAATCCCTGCAACATGTCAACCCCGGTGCTTTCTGCCCCGAATCCCTGTCCGCGTGCCCCTCCCACTCCGCGCCAGTCCTTATCGATTGCACTCCACCCAAGCTCGCTCTCTCTTGCTGATAATGTTCGCGTGACTAGCTGCATAGCACCCTTCTCACCTTCATTGCGGCTGCCGCTCAGCTAGTTTCGCTGGTTTGGTACATCGTATCCTACTTCCCCATGGGCTCCTCTGGTCTACGTTTTGCTGCGCGCTTTGGAGGAAACCGCGTCGCCGCCTGGATAAGTGACTAGACTCTCCTCTTGAAACTTTGCCGGCGCCACGCTCGAGATTGTGGCTATGCCCCTCATACGAATACGGGCATGTCGTCGCAACGCGACGCGTGTCGGACAATACATGAGCATGTCTGGCAGGGCTGTATATTGCCCTTGTGCGCGAAGAGTCGACTTGCCAGGATCTCACAATGTCATGTTCCAATCCCATCACGCTACATAGTCACATATACGCCTCTCTCCACGCCTCTTATTGCTGCATCCTGATTGATCGGATGGCGTGGTGCTAGCGGCACACTGAACGAGGCGGCAATCAGACTAGCACCTAGTGCGCCGTGTCTGCATTGCACTGGTGTATTTGGAAGCTTCAAGTGCTATCGCCTACGGCCATTCTGAATCAAGTTGAGAAGCAGAGGGTCGAATACAGGTTGTTCCACCAAACCAACATATCTGATACATTTCTCCGAAGCATGAGTGAGCTTGTCTCATCCACGTCCGACCAAGCCTTTCTAAATTAACCTATCTGGTTGATCACTTGCCCAAATGTTCCCCCTCGTGGCTGTTTGGACTCGTTCTTGGCCGTGCCGATCTGTAGATTACCTTTGCTTACCCAAAGATTTGCTTTTTCCCCTCATTTTGAGTTGAAAAGTCTCACGGAATACCCGACTTACGACATCTATGGCATGCACGACGGGTGAGAAGGTTGCGACCGATCAGCGCAGGGTCAGCGCCGTCTAAGGCAGGGTGGATGGCCGATCAAGGCAGGGTCCCGAAGGCGTCTCTCAAGGCCAAATGGGCTGCGAACGGCTTTCGGCGCCATATGGCAACATCTGCGCTGATCTTGCAATGTGCGCTTGTTCGCATGCGTTCGGCGGGTGGATGCATATGGTATGTATGCGAACGACTCGCCAGTGTTATCGCAAATCGCGCAAAGACGGGAAAAAGGCGAGCGCACACGCCTCTCCTCCGTCCTTGCTCCTCCCCCTCCCCCTCCCCTCCACCCCTCTCCGTCCGTTTCCTTGGTGAACACCTCCCACGCAGTCATGGACAGGAAATGATAGTGTACTAAAACATTTGATCGTCTCAAGCTAGGGAGGACATGGCGGGAGCGCGAGGGGGGCCTCGTGATCTACATAGTCCACCCGAGTTAGGTTGGACCCATGTTATCGTGAAGCGATTAAAAGGTGTGGTGGGTGGTGTGTCGTCGTCGTCGCAGCAGCAGCCCAGCCCATGTGTGCAGGGGGTGACCGACGACCAGTAGCGAATAAGGATCTCCCCCACACCGTCTAGTTCCATTGAGCGCTTACGCGCAATGCGCAATCCCAGAGAGTACCGTAAGTAGGTGTGGGAGGGAGGAAGGGAGGGAGGGGAGGCCATTTTTTGGTTCCAAACCGCCCTGCTAAACCTGTCTTGGGCATCCATGCAAGAAAGGGCCTTGTTCTAACCAGCGAGGTGGGATGATGTCCCGCCTTTTCTCGGCAGAAAAGAAAACCCCCCCTACCTTTCCTTATTTAATCGGCGCGAAACGCGGCGTTGGGGAATATATTTCGTTTACATTCAAGTGTCGTCTTTTCTACTAGGTCAGCAAAGCATGGGCTTGGATGGCCCAAGGGTTGGCCCGACATGGCCCGATGGAGCTATGTATGACGACATGCATATTTATTATTAACCACTTTTCAACCCCACTTTTGAATTAAAATGCTTTGCCATCACGAGCCGAGCGGAGGGAGCGGTGACCGTGCTGGCGCGTCCGCCCCGGTACTTCTCTCTATACGAGAGAGAAAGCGCAAACAACCCCAACCACCAAAAAAATAGTACTAGTTGGATGATAAAAACATGGACATGGGACTACTCACCGACTACCCAGTGTCTCGAAAAACAAAAGGGTCATGTGCACCAAAATTTCAAACGAAGAAAAGATGTATTCGGTCCGTTTTCTTTTGAAGGGGGGGGAGGGGGAAAGGAGGTAATATCGTTTGGATATAACTACTTTTTTTGTTTTTTGTTTTCTTTACTGTACTTGTACTATATAACTTTTTTTTATTTTTTTTTGAAAATTATCGCCCATCTCCGCCCGTCTGCTCGCTCCCCCCCCCCTCCCTTTTCCCTAGGGTCAAGCAAGCAGGCAAGCAAGCTATGCAAACCCATGGTGTGAAAAAGTATATATATATAACCAAAAATTTCAAGAATCAAGGTAAGTAATGGAGTGCGAAGTGGGGAAATTGGCGGTGTGTGTGTATATGTGTGTGTGTGTGTGAGCCCAAAAATCCATCAGCTAGTATGATTATGGTTTTGGTGGCGGGTTCTTGGGCGGTTGCATTATCTTGATTTTTTCTTCTTCTTTTTTTTCATCATCTTTTTTTTTCTTTTTGAGGCGTTCGGATGGTGAAGAGCTAGGAACTGGTAAAGAAGAAGAGAGAGGTGTGTGTGGGAACGGGATGGGCTTGTAGCTTGTAGCTTCTGGGGAACTAAAGTTAGTAGCCTACGAGGGAAGCTAGGGGTGTTGGGCTGGCTGATTTCTGGGGTTTCTTTTTTCTTGATTTTTCTCACTTTTGTAGGTGCTAGAGAGAGAGAGAGAGAGAGAGCTACAAGAAGCGGCTTGTGACTTGTGTCGTTGCCGGTGCTAGGTGAGTAGGTGTCAGATTTCCGGTTCTTCCTTTTTCTTTCTTTTCCTTTTTTTGATTCCACGTTTCTCATAAATCTAGTTTTCGCTGCAGTTGGAAAAGCTTGATAGCACTTTCAATAACTTCCAGTCATCTATTCCTTGGTAGGGGAATCCAGATTTGGTACTATCTGGCGAACGGCCAATATCCAGCGACCTCAGTCTTTCACTGCTTCGGAAAGCTTCAGTCTTTTTTCCAATAATTTCAGCCGTCTATTTTCAGCAGGGTGCAAAATCCAAATTTGGTACTATCTGGCGGGCTGGCGGCCAATATCCCACCGACCTCGTCTATATACGAGATGTCAGGTCAGCTCGTGATCTCTTTTGAGTTTCTTTCAATTTACGAAGATGCAAGCCACGAGAGCTCTCTCTGTGTTACGCGATCTTATGCTGGATTGGGCAGCCAACCCCTCTTTCTCTTTTCCTCCCTCAACCCACTCACACGCACCCTTCGTTTCCGCAATATCCGTTGAGCAACCACGTAGACTGTGGCTCCCGCGATACGCGAGCGAGGTGTGTGTTACGATGCGGAGGCGCTGAGGCGCTGAGGCGCTGACCTACAACACCACATCCGTACCACATAGGCGAGATCCGAGATCTGTTACACGTGTGCATCCCAGACAGTGGTGTTGCCACTCAGTGTGCATATAGGGCTGAAAGAAGGTTATAATTGTGGCGTTTTACTGTGGCCCACTGGAAACTCTTCTTATTTGCGCTGGACTGATGAATAGAAGAAAGGTGATGGGTTGGCATTTGGGCGCGCCCTGCGGTGCTTGAACGGTGTGACTGCAGCCTGGGCTGGATTGAAGGACTTGGGAGTTTTAGCTGCATGCGAGGTGGGATGACTGGGTGGATGGCTGTTTGGTTGCTGTAGGGCGCTATTGTGGTATGGCTTCTAGAACCGCACCTGTGCGTGGTGATGGAGATATGCGGAGGGCATTAGACGCGAATAGCTGCATGAGGCGTCATGGCTGGATGCCCTTTGGTGTTGCAAACGCCATCGCAACAGCGCTTCTAGAATCGCACGTGCGTGTGATGTAGAAGTGTGGAGAGGATTAGATGTGAAGACTTGGGGTTAGCTGCAAGAGGCGTGATGGTTGGGTGTCTTCCAGAATCTCACATCTGCGTAATGCTGTAAACATGCGGAGAGACTTGGAAGTAAAGGCTTGAGAGGACCGGAAACAACCGGGTGCGACTGATTGGCTGGCTTGTGGCCGGTATAACAGCTTTCTCCTACCACTGCTATGTAATTCCTTACTAAAAGTGACATGCCCACCTGCGATGGGGCTGTCCCCTCACTTGTAAGCCATCGCAAATGTCTGCTTGCTAGCCGCTGAACTACCACCATAGTGTGTACGCACAGAATCTTCCCCACTAGAGCCTACGGTAGCCAATAGATGTCAACCAGAATCTGCTGTTTTATCCGTTCGTCGTTGCATCGGGAGTCAGTATGTGGTACTACCCCACTCCGACTCACGTCGGCAGTATACCTCCAGGCCCAACCGTTTGAAATTCCACTTGCCCATTACCCGCAACCTCCGGGACACGGAACTGTTCTCCCAATGATTGGGCAATGCATGCCAAGATTCACAGAGAAGTGGGGTGACCGGCGTGATGAGTGCGACACAAGCTCTTGCATGAAGCTTGTGGGGTTCGGCAGATGGTGGGGTAGCAATTGGGGTAATTGAGAACCGGTACACTACTTGTACGCCAGGCGCTCCCATACTTCTGTTCCGACTCCATCTGCACCATCGTGAGAAATAGCGGTGAAGCGCGCAACCCCGTCTTTTCGCTTTCATTGGTCTCATCGAATTGCACCGGAACGACTATCGCCACCAAGACGTAATAACCATGCCCGAACAGCTTCAAGACCCAAAGGAGTACCAGAATATCTTCCACTGGGCAGAGACACAGAAGGACGGCGCTATACCCTCCTTTGGAACTAGGAAGAACGACCCTTATGAGGTGAGCTGACTAGTAGACGAACAAGTGGTCATGTTGAAGCTTGCCCGCTGACGACTGGCGTTTTCGCAGTATCAATCCGGCTTCGGAAACAGCTTCGAGTCGGAGGCAGTCCCAGGTGAGTAGGAGCCCAAATCTGATAGACTGTGCAGCCGGCTAATCGGTGGGGCCCATACAGGCACTATTCCCAAGGGTCAGAACAACCCGCGATGTGTCAGATTTGGACTATATGCGGAACAAATGACCGGAACGGCCTTTGTGGCTCCAAGGCATCTCAATAAAAAGGTTATACCAGCAAACAAACGTGGCCAATATACATGCTGACGCGTCATTTCAGGCTTACCTCTACCGGGCGCGACCTGCTGTCGCTCATCAAGGATTTGTAAGAGCTCTCTTTTCTTTGACCGATCGGTGAGGTCGGACACGGAATTACGCCTCACGTCATATTCGGCCCGTTTCTGGTCCTCTCGGAACAAACATGACCTCAAAGTGTCAGAGGATATGGATGGCGCAGTAGCATCGAGTGGCGGTGACATTTTTACATGCGCTGACACATGCTGACAGACCGACTTGCCAGACAACGAGGATACAGAGTCCAACTTCCTCCCCTCCAACAAGCGAGTCCATGTTTCGCCTACACAGCTGGCCTGGCTTCCATTCGATATCCCTAAGGATGGAGATATCGATTTTATTTCTGGCCTCAAGACTATTGCTGGCTCGGGTGAGCCAACACTACGCGAGGGTCTTGCAGTGCACACGTATCTTTGCAATGCAAGTATGAACAGGAGGGCCGCAGTGAACTCGGATGGCGACTTCCTCATCGTGCCTCAGCAGGGTGCATTAGATATCCTGACTGAATTTGGGCCCATGTATGTGCAACCAGGTGAAATTTGCGTCATCCAGCGGGGACAGCGGTTCAAGGTCAAGGTCGAGGGACCGACCCGAGGCTACATCTTGGGTAGGTTGACTCGATTATTGAGATTCACTCGACATAAACTGATATGATGCAGAAATTTGGGGATCACAATTTCAACTACCAGAGCTCGGCCCACTAGGAGCCAACGGCCTTGCTAATGCTCGAGACTTCTTGCACCCCAAGGCAAAATACGAGATTGAGAAAGCATCGTGGGAGATTGTCTACAAACTTGCTGGAAAGTTTTTCGTCAGCAAGCAGGAACACTCGCCGTTTGACGTTGTCGCGTGGCATGGAAACTATGTTCCGTTCAAGTACGATTTGACAAAGTTTGTCAACGTTGGCTCAATCTCGGTTGATCACATTGATCCTTCCATCTTCTGCGTCATTACGGCTCCTTCTCGCGATCCAGCTGCGCCGCTAGCCGACTTTTTGATCTTTAGTCCGCGATGGGATGTGGCTTCGCACAGTACGTTATGAGTATCTGGGAGAAAGGCAAAGCTAACTATTTCTTAGCATACCGCCCACCATACTACCACCGCAACGGAGCCTCTGAGCTCATGGGCTTAATCTACGGAGAATACGCAGGTCGTTCCGACGAGTTCCAGCCCGGAGGTGTCAGTTTTGAGTGTGGCTTTGTGCCTCATGGTGTTGCGTACGAGGAGGTGAGTCAACGCCAGTAAGTTTTGATGAGGAGTGCTAACAGTTTCCAAGTTCAAAGCCGCGAGCGCGCAACCGCCGCCTGAGATGCAAATCTCAAAGGGTGCGATCGCTTTTATGATGGAGAGTTCGAGGATGTTTACCATTACCGATTGGGCATGGAACAGTAAAAAGAAGCACGAGCACGACCCCAGGATGTGGTAAGTAGTGGATGGAAGCATTATGTATACGAGCACTTTACTGACGCATATCTAGGGATAATCTTGTCGACAATTTTTCGACACACGAGGACGAGGTTAAGAAAATCCTGGCTGAAGGCGTGAAGAAGCTTTCATTGTAGTGTATTTAGATATTGAAGTCTCGTAGAAACAAAACAAAATCAATTCCTCTACACGAATCCCATCTTGACTCAAAAATGATATGAAAATGAAAAGGGCCGCTCATCACAAGTCAACTATGACTCTGACCAAAAAGGCTAGTGTGTACCCCACCCGCGGGAGTCAGGCACCAGGCTGTGATCTCATCGCGACCAGCTGAAGCAATTACTACACACTGACCTCAAAACAACTGCACTTGCGCCCTCTTTCGTATTCCCTAGTAAGGGCTGAGCTTTGGTATGAAATGCCCTTTCCGAGCTGACTCATCGTGACTGCGCTACATATATCTTTCCTCTTTTGTTCTTTTCTACGGCAATGCGCACTACTTTACTAAAATATTCTCCCCGCTCTTGTGCATTGTCGCATCTGTACGCAACCTACCTTCGCTCACAAGTGTCGTTATCCCAGATTTACCTTTCCGTCCTTACACGAACCCGATTACATACCCAAAAGCAATTCATCCCCCGACGTTCGTTTGCGTCCACTGCAATCATGGCGCACCGCGAGAGAGCGCCCTATGTGCCGCAAGACCCAAAAGAGGTCACCGATTTGGTCCACGCTCTCGAGGCACATAAGGGCAAGAAGGGACAGGGTGGTTTCTCAGTAAAAAAACACACATTCCCACTTCCCAACGGCCGAACCGTGGACTCATGGAAGATGAACGATTGGGACTACAAAAAAGAGAATCTCCCCACATATGCGCGAGGACTCTTTACATACAAAAACTTGCAGGGTAACTACGAGATTGCAGTCAGGGGGTACGACAAGTTCTTCAATCATGGAGAGATCCGGAAGACGGAATGGAAAAATGTGGAAAAAAACACACAGGGTCCGTACGAGTTGAGTGTAAAAGAGAACGGGTGTATTATCTTTGTAGCTGGCCTAGACGACGACACACTACTGGTCTGCAGCAAACACTCTACAGGCCCTCGGGAAGGATGTCTCAGTCACGCTGTTGCGGGCGAGCAGTGGGTTGAGCGACATGTTGCCAAAGTCGGCAGGACCAAGGCGGAGCTGGCGCGTACCCTTCGGTCCATGAACGCGACATTAGTAGCAGAACTATGCGATGACGAATTCGAAGAGCATGTGCTGGCATATACTCCTGAGCAGGCTGGCCTCTACGTACACGGCATCAATCTGAACCTGCCTGACTTTGCGACATATCCTGGCCATCTGGTCGACAAATTTGCCGACGAGTGGGGTATGAAGAAGGTCACATACGTGATCGAGAACGATATCAAGAAAGTAAAGGCCTTCTTGGATAAGGTTGCGGAGACGGGCAACTACGAGGGTCGCGACACAGAGGGTTTCGTCATCCGCTGCCAGGCACGCGAGACTGAGAACGCACCATATGTGGATTGGTTTTTCAAGTACAAGTTCGAGGAGCCATATCTCATGTACCGTCAGTGGCGCGAGTGCACTAGAGCTCTCATCGCCGGCAAAGTACCGCGTTACAAGAAACACGAGGCAATCACCAAGGAGTACCTTGACTTTGCGCGCTGGAAATTCACTCAAAACAAGACCTTGGCCAAGGCTTACAACGAGAATCACGGCATCATCAAGATGCGTGACGAGTTCTTGGCTTCGCGTGGAACCACTGGTGCTGAAATCATTCGACAAGAACTGGAAAATGGGGCAGTCGAGAGCAAAAATGCGACTGGGAATATTGTGCTTGTTCCTGTTGCAACTATTGGGTGCGGAAAAACAACTCTGGCTCTTGCTCTAGTCAAGTTGTTTGGATGGGGTCACTTCCAGAACGACAATGTCAAGGCCAAAAAAGGTCGTGGCCAGGTGTTCGCTGACACGATTTCTTCGCTGCTAGTCACAAACCCAGTCGTCATTGCCGATCGAAACAATCATCAGAAGCGCGAGCGAGACCAGCTCATCAACGACATCTCTAAGAACGTGCCAGATGCGCGCTTCGTCGCATTGCATTATGTTCATGACCGGCACAACTACGACCGAATCCGAGAAGCGACACGGGCGCGTGTGCTTGACCGTGGCGATAATCATCAGACCATCCAGGCAGGCTCAAAGGGATCAAGTGAGATTATCGAGATCATGGAAGGTTTCATGCATCGGTTCCAGCCAGTCGATCCTTCTGAAAGCCCGGACGAACTCTTCGATTTGGTCATTGACTTAGACCCTACTGTCGACTCCCGCCAGAATCTTGAGTCAATCATTGGAAGAATGTTTGAGACATATCCAGCTCTATTTGCCGATAAACAGATGCCGACTGATCCCGATATGGACGCTGCTATCCACTGGGCTCTGAACGACTACACGCCGGATTTCAAGATGGACCTATCGCGAGGCAACAACGATAGAAAGGGTATCCAGAACAAACAAAACAACCAAAAAGCTCAACCAGTAGCAAAACAAAAGAAGGCTCCACGCATGGAGTACTTCTCCGTTCGTCTCAACACCAACCGCGTCAACGCAGTCCTCGACGACCTCTTCAAGGACAAGGACGCCATGACCGCCCGAATGTACAACCAACTAAAGCAGAGCCGCCGCGTCCAAAACGAATTCCATGTCACTTTGATCCACCGGGCCTCTGCAGCTGAGAACCAAGAATACTGGGACAAGCTCGTCAAGCACCACGAAAACATGCAAAAAACAAACATGGAGGGCTCGTGGGAACCAGAGCTCGGCAAGTGCGACGTACAACTCGAACGCCTCATCTGGGACGACCGCATAATGTGCTTCGTTGTACGCTTGAATGGCTCTAGCACCTTGCAGATCGAGAGTGAGGCTGGTACCGCAACCGAGGAACTTGTTTTCACAACTGCAAATCCCATTGCCCACGTTACTGTCGGTACCGCGGCGCCGAGCATCAAGCCTATGGAGAGCAACGCACTGTTGCAGCGCTGGGTGAATGGGGGCTCGGGAGGTCAGACTGGAATTGGGGAGTTGAGTGTTAAGGGCAATGTTGTGCTCGACGGAAGTGTGAGGGGTGTGCTTGGACGCATGTAGGGTAAGCGTGCAACGCACACTGCTCAGAACCAGGATGTGAGGGAGAACAAGAAAAAGAAGTGAAGGGGCTTGAATGAAAACAAGAAGTACTACAGAGACCGAGAAAAGGTTTCTGTAAAAGGGAGGTGGAAAGAAAGAGCATTTTGTATGGCGTTAGCAAAGGGGTGTTTAAGCGGACATGTCTAACAAAGGATACGCAGAAGGATTGAAACAAGGCTTAAATCATAAATGATACTTTACTGCGCATCAATCAAGTTACTACTACCTCCCTGATTTCCGATCCTTCTAATACGTAGCAGGAAACACTCCCACCCTCCCCCCATCCGTCAACTGCGCAGTCCCATTAACATACGCACCCCCCTTCCCCACCAAAAACAGCATCAACCCACTAATATCATTCAACCCGCCCATCCTCCCCTGCGGCACCTGGCTCGTCCCATACACAGGCTTAATATCCGCCGTCATATCACTCGGGTACGGCCCAGGACAAACAATATTGCTTCTGACCCCCCATTCCGCCAGAAACGTCGCCATCATCTTACCCAGATGCGCAGCAGCAGATTTACTAGCGTTGTACGCGAGACCCGCGGATACCCAGCGCATGTACGAAGCCACGGAGGCAACAGTGATGATATGTGCCAGTCGGTCGTCATCAGCATCGACACCAGCATCCGCCAACTTCTTCGTGTCGCGAGCACGCGGATTCCCCGCGCCAGTGACTTTGCCCGGCGCCCATCCACGACGCGTATTCGCTGCTTCGAGCAGAGGAAGAAAAGTCGCGGAGACGCCGATGACGGATTGCGTGTTTATTGCCATAGCGGAGGACCAGCCGTCGTAGTCCGAAGTCATTGCGTCGGCGAGTTCGTGGATCGAAGATGCTTTGTAGATGTCCTGCCCGTTTCTGGGGCCGAGGACGCCGGCGTTGTTGATTAGCACGTCGACGTAGCCGATGTCTTTCTTGATGTGCTCGGCGGCGGCTTTGACGGAGGCGAGGTCGGTGACATCGCAGACGATATCATTGAGGACGGAGGTGCTGGCGGGTTTGTATGCTACATTGTCGGATTGGAGTTTGGAGATGGCGGTGCGGAGGACGTCTTGTCGGCGGCCGAGGATGTAGATTTTTTCGGCGCCGTTTTGGTAGAGGGCTGAGGCTATGGCGAGACCGAGACCTGTGTGGTTGTTGATGAGTCTTTTTGCTGGGAATTTACATAGCGAGTAACTATTCAAAGAGGATGGGCGCGGGGTAGTAGTACAGCGGGGTAGCTTAGAGCTTGAATAACAACTAACGTACCAGTACCTCCGCCAGTAATGACTACTACCAGCCCCTTGGCGGAGAATAGACTGTTCGGTTGTATAGGTGCTGTGACGTCCATAGTGGCCAGTCTGATTCAAGAGTATTGTAAACGATTGAGACTTGTAGAAAACGGCAGCTTCTATAGGGACAAAGTCCACGTCGGGTGATTACTATGCCGAGCTAGAGCGACATTATTGCGTCACAGATGGGAATGAGCCGCGGTTGGAGATGCACAGAACGCGACGCGTGTGGTTCAAACAATGGGGTATCATTTACGCCGTTAGAACTGACAAAACTCCTTTTCCTTTTCCTTTCCTTCTTTTACTCCGCAACTGCTTAGCTAATGCCTCCAACAATCTTGAGGCCTAGGTTGTCAGCTGAATAGGCCAGTATATATCGGCATGGGTGCCATGCTACATGCGCTGCGGGTGTGGGAACATCGATGGTGTATACGGTTTCGCCCGATTCCACATGTGCGATGCGAATCTTCTTTTCTTCCTTATCGTCGGAGCCAGCGGTGATGTAGCTGCCATCAAACGAGAAGTCCACACTCTTAACGAGGCCTCCTGTCAACTCCAAAGTTCTCACGCAAATCCATTCCTGTGTATCCCAAAGTGAAACCAACGCATCTCCTCCACCAGCTGCCAGGTATTCGCCGCTGGGCGACATGGAGACAGCATAGCATGCAGAAGTATGGGCGTTCAGTGTGAGAGCGTTTTCGAACGACGGATAGCGTAGTAATCTAACGCTTCCATCACCAGCTGTCGAGTAAAGGTGGTTACCAGACCAATCAAAGACACACTGGTTGGTCTGGAGGGGCTGACGGTGCTCGGAGATGATACTGAGGGCTGCTCTATCGACATTGACGAGGAGGTTATCCTTGAATAAGTTAGTACATAGTCGCAACAAAGGTTGGTCAACTGACCTTTCTTCCTACGACGATCTCGTTGCCGTCTGGTGTCCATGCCAGAGTAAAGGGCTGCTCGCCGACCTTGACTTCACCCACACTGGCCTTGGAGCGAATGTCCCAGAACCTGACCATACCATCGGTACCACAGCTTGCAAGCTCATTCTCATTGATGGGGTGGAAAGATACGCGTTCGAGGTTGGTCAAGGGAGGCGCGTTGGGCGTACGGAGCTCGGTCGAGTTCTTAACGTTGGTCTTCTCGGGATTCCATATGCGCAACGTTTTGTCTGCAGCCCCCGTGGCGATAAAAGTTCCAGAGGCGTTCCACGATATCGAGCGGATGTAGTGCGACGAGGAGACGGCGGCCGGGCGCGTGCTGTCTTGATAGACGGACGTCTTGAGTTTCTTAAATGCTGCCTCGAAGTCGTCTTTCTTGATCGGACGCGCGCGGACTGGGGGCGGCATCTTGACTGTACGGTAGCTGGTTCAGCTCGCAGTTGGTGGTTGAGGCTTTGGTCATGACGCGAAGCTCCAGTCTCATGGGCGGACCGTGCTTTCCTCAGCTTCTGCCTCCGTCATCGTACCTGGAATGAACGCAACGAGAGCACATTCAACAAAAATATCTTCGTAAACTCCAAAGTCGGAGTCCATGAATACTACGTATTGTATGGTGTCTATGCATCAGACATAATCTTATATCTCTTGCATCGATGTAGCGAATCGTTATGAGTCTGGCCTCGGAAGCTATTAAAAACGTCGCTGATTTTATCCTAATATATAGAAGGTGGGGGAACAGAAACAAAAGTAATATATTTACAGGTAAGAAATAGCGGGTTTTTAGAGAGGGTTCTAGAACTAGGGCAAGACCTTTATATAAGTACTGTAACATGGAAACATGCAAACACCCTCCTACGTGACCCCCGCGAAAAATATACACAACAGCGGGGATTCTCCAAGACTCACCCAACCAACTACCAATCTATCGGCAAACTACTTGCATAGGGCAGATTTTGTGGAATGGCTTGTTATCGCCTGTTCTGCCACTACACAAACCGCGAATTTGCCTGTTTGCGGTATCATGGAAGATGCACACCAGTCACGCGGGGACAAGAAAGGTCCCTGACCGATGCAAAAAAGTAAAACGCCTCTTTCTTGAAGAGTAGAGTGATTGGCGCTCGTGTCTTACGTAGGTCTGTTGCTGAATCGCTAAAGTGTCTATTCACCAAAGGCTATTGGAGCAATGTTAGCCCCCAACTGCCGCCACCAATACCACGTGTTACTTGATCTAACTGCTTCAGATACTTGCGAATGGGAACGTGCTGTCGGCTAGTGTACTGTGCTTCCGCCCCTAGTCCCTACTTCATACACTTAGGTTGCCGTCGTGAGCCATGGCTACGGAGGATTTTCCTTCTTCAATCCAAGGCCACTCATCCAGGGCCCCTAGCTATGCAATTGTGGCTGTTCTATTTCAGCGCCTAGGCATTGATATTAGATAGCTTGCTCTAATCTACTTCTTTCTCTTCGCTGTACACCGATTAGGTCAGTGTCTCTATATCTGGACACAGTCCCGATTCGATAGACGTAGTGTGTAATACAGAGATGACGACTCGATAACGTGTTTGGAACCAAAAAAAATACAGCTAATCTGTTCGGCCCTGTCAGAGCACCGAGGAACTCTCGGAACAGGACTGTAAAGTTGCGGATCGATTTCAGATTCAAAGAATGCAACTCTTGTGATATCAACTGCCGTTTTGGTTTTCCAAGATGTTGATTAGGCTTCTCGAGACCTCAGACACAGAAGCAGGAAAAAAGGTAAACTTTAAAGAGAGCCAAAGAAGTGATCAACAGCACCGTCCGCGTTACGCAGATTTCGCCCGCAAATCAGTATAAGAATAAGTAAATGCTATACACCTATTTGGAACATTATTAGGGTAAGACTGCTGTCATAGAACTGCGTAGTGAGTATTGGTCAATATGTAGACAACTATCTTTAAGCTACAGAGCTTATGAGGACCAGCAGAATTGAAATCCATATTCATTCGCGCATACATGCTGAGAGATGCTCAGAGGTGCTAGCTTTAGCGATCTCAGGTGATCTATCTGTAAAATACTGGTCCAAGAGTTACTGTAACAAACTCGACGCTGTGTCACCCCGGAAGATGCTGAGAACAGTTTGTTGAGGCATACGTCAATAGCATCTGAGACCTGATCGCTTTTTCGCTCCTGTTGAGTAGTGATGCCCGATAGCCGCTTTACTGACAGTAGTTAGGTTTGCCCGGGGCGGGCTGGCCCGCCAAATATGAAAGCAATCGGTTAGGCTGCCAAGAAGTAAGTGCAAGGCTGAATATCAGCTCAGCACAGATCCTCAAGACTACTTTCTCTCCGTACTATAGATGTAATATCCATCGAGTCTACTCAATGGCTGTCATAGACCTGTAACAGGATTGCCTAGTCTTATTGTCTGTTCTGACATTATATTCCCCTTTGCCTTAGCTTTGAACCCCTTGACTTTGCATTAGGCTCTCTGGCTTGTGATACATATAGAAACAATGACGAGGAGAAAGAGGGCGCTAGTGAAGGATTCTGCCCCTGCATTCTCGCGTAAGTGGGCAGGCTTAGACGACGAGGCAGACAGAGGAGTATGCGTTTAACCTCTTTAGGATGCGTGTATCTCTGTCTGATCAGTTCTCCCGAGTACTTTAAAGCTTCCACTTTTACCATATGTGATAACAGCGAACGAAAGCCTCGTCTTCATTCCCACCTTCCCTACCTACTGCTCCAATTCACTATCACTGATCGACATGGCAAAATCATATTGGCTATGGGCACGAAATATCTACTTCCTTATCGCCGCTATTATACTGCTTAGTGCAACACCAATCTGGGCACAATCACACAATGAAAGCCCCTCCAATTTAGCACGTTCCAAATTTCAAGATCCGTCGAGGATGAGCCCCATTACTACAGGCCCGACACTAGGACCATCTCTACTACCGTCACCCCAAGGCGTCCGATTGCGCCCCCGCGATGTCACGGCCATTTCTGTCGACGGCTACGAATACCGAGGCTGTGTGGGTGATGACGGCAATAAGCGTGTTCTGGGAGGGCCTACAGTTGACATTGTTTCCCTAGAGCCCACTTCGTGCGGTAACTTGTGAGTTAGATTATCTTATTGCACCTAAGAGATCAGAGCAGCCTTGAAAGAAGCCCCGGAGGATTACCTCCGAAACCTGAAGTTCGAAAGGATTGTAGTGATGGCCACATCCTAACTACAATATTCGAGGAGTTGGATCAAAAGCGCTAACAGAAAGCAGCTGCTCCCGAGCAGGCTATTCAATCTTTGGTGTCCAGTTCGCAACGCAATGCTACTGCGGCAATGTCCTAGCTACAAAAACTATAACTACGCCGCCGAGCTGCACCATGCCCTGCCCTTCCAAAACGGACGCCGCCTGCGGCGGCTTTTACGCCATGAACGTGTATAGCGCAACAATCAATTCGGATACTGTTACAGATACCAGTACAATCACGGTTTCTAATGTGGTGGTATTAACCGCTACCGCCTCATTAACCACTATCGTTTCCTCATCCTCTGCGCCCCCTAATACTCAAGTACCTAGACCAACATCAAACAGCGATGTGACTCTTCCCAAAGGCGCTATCATCGGCATCGGTGCGGGCTCTGCCCTTGGTGCAGTCCTGATTTGTGCCGCAATCTATTATTTCTGGTTCTATCGACGTCGCCAGAGGTCTCATAAGGTCTCAAATGAAGCAATATCTTCATCAGGACAATGGCCACCAATAACAGAGCGGGCAAGGCCAGGTGGACCAGATAACGAGACAGCTATGGCAAAGCAGCACTGGGCGATATCAGAACACAGTTCGAGATATTTAAGTGAAATGGGAGAAATTAACAAACAAGGATTTCCGGTGGAAGCTCCTGGGGACTATAGGCAGGTGCATGAGCTTGCGGAAGGGAGGTGAAGTGTTGAATGAGTGACGTCCCACACAGAATAAAAACCTCATGGAGCTAAGCAAAAAGGAATTCTATCTCTCTGCAGCAACATGGATTATCTATGATGAATACATGCATACCGAAATCAGATTGTGGCATTTAGTTGTATTTGAGACGAACACTCATGGAGCAGTTACGGAAAACAACATCTTTACCGTCTTACGCACGCTGTGTAGAAGTAGTGATAACCTAGAAGAAACGCAGAGAGTATACCGGCAACGTAAACAAATCTTTTCGTGTCTAGTTTCAGGCATTTGAGGATGCGGATGCAGAACTAGTGAGTTACAATTATGTATTATGTATAAGAGTGATGCAGATTCAATGCGGTAGTAATCTGCCCTCTATTGCTGCTTGCTCTGAGCACCCTCCTTTTGCATGCCTTCACATCCAACCAAGTTGCCTGCCTTCTCCTCAAGACTGCCCATGCCTTGTTGTTGTGGGTCACGGTTTGCCGATGCTGCCTTCATGGCTTCGACGGCATGCTCCTTGTCTGAGACGCCTGATGCCTTCCATGGCTCGCTGCCCGTTACATTTCCGATAGTCTCCTTTAACGATTGTTAGTATATAGTGAAGGGATAACAGTATAGTGCAAAGAGGTGTAGGTAATACTCACTTCAGCGGCGCCCTTGACATACTGGGCGTGGCTGGAGACGAGGCCGGGCTGGTTTGGTGCGGCAGACATGATGTCGTGTTTGAAGAAGTTATGTAGTTAATAGGATACGTGTTGAATCAGAGTGATATTTGTATAGTAGAGTAGAGGTGGATGCAAAGTACAATCATCACTGGCGGTCACCGGAGACTATATGGGACAGCTGGTAGTTGACGTCATCGAAACTACATCATCGATCCGTGACAGACGCGCAGTCACGCGTGGACGAGACGCCTGGACCCTGCATTCGCTACCATCCCAGTTGCACGTCGAGCCACCGATCTTGTCCTTGTAGTCCTCACTTACCTTCGAGATGCTGCTGTTCACGTCCCTGAGACAGCGATCATCCCGCCCCACAACAGCCTACGGAGTCATGTATTTCCAAGTGAGCTTAAATCCGACGATTAGTATCGGCAATAATCATGCACAGATCATTGGCTGAGGGCTGCACCACGACAGACTGTCTTGATAAGCAAAACAGCTAGAAAGAAAAAAACTACTTCTCGTTGCGAAACCGGAAGGTGGAAATCTACCTCGGCATCTTACAAATCATCCATATGGCGTGCTGCACTACCAAACGTTTAAATAGATCTTTGCTACACAGCTTTTAAACATAACTGCATCCTCTCCTCCGAGTCCAAACGCCGACCTCTTCGCCGATTGAACCCGAAACTCCTCAAAAATGGCACCTCAAGATTACAACCATGGCGTCCCAGGCCTGCCCTACTCCACGCCCAAACACGATACAAGTCCCGGCTCCATTCCACCTTCAAGCAAGCAAGATGCTCCGGTTCCAACGCTCTTCACGCCCCTCACTATCCGTGAAACCACACTCCGAAACCGTATCCAAGTAGCCCCTATGTGCCAGTACAGCTCAGCATCTGAAGGGCCTTCAACGGGTGCCCTGACCGATTACCATATTGCCACCCTCGGCCACTACGCCCTCAAAGGAGCCGCCTTGGTCTTCATCGAAGCCACTGGCGTCCAAGCCAATGGCCGCATCTCACCAAACTGCCCTGGCCTCTGGAGTGACTCGCAAATCCCCGCTTTGCGACGAGTCTCTGATTTCATCAAGAGCCAAGGAGCCCAATGCGGCATCCAACTAGCCCACGCCGGCAGGAAAGCCAGTACCTGCGCCCCCTGGATCGCCGGCTCCCAGAAGACCCAAGGCGGCAAGCGCAAAGTAAGCGTCAAAGCCGACGTCGATGCCGCAGGATGGCCCACCGACGTCGTCGGCCCCATGGGCGGTCAGGAATGGGCATGGGACAACCTACCCGCCTCGGACGAGAACAGCGGCTACTGGGCCCCCCGCGCCCTCAGCGAAGCCGAAATCCAAGAGCTCGTTCAAGACTGGGCTGCCGCCGCCCAGCGCGCCGTCAAAGCCGGTGTCGACGTCATTGAAATCCACGGCGCACACGGTTACCTCATCCACCAGTTCCTGTCTCCCGTTACCAACCAGCGGACAGACAAGTACGGCGGCTCCTTTGAAAACCGCACTCGTCTCTTGATCGATATCATCAAGGCCATCCGCGCGGTCATCCCAGACTCCATGCCGCTGTACCTCCGCATCAGCTCCACAGACTGGATGGAAGAAACAGAGCTCGGAAAGAAGCTGGGTAGCTGGGACGTCGAAAGCTCGATTCGCCTTGCGAAGCTACTCCCGGCCCTCGGTGTTGATCTCCTCGATGTAAGCAGTGGAGGTAATCACCCCGAGCAGCGCATCAATATGTTCGAGTCCAAGGACTATCAGACGAAGATCGCCGCACAGATTCGTAGCGAGCTTAAGAAGGAGAATCTGAACTTGTTTATTGGAGCTGTAGGCCTCATCACTGAGGCGGAGCAGGCGAAGAATATCGTTGAGGATGGTGGTGCTTCGAAGGCTGGGGATGAGGAACTCGCAAAGGAGGCGCAGGCTGCGGTTAAGGTTACAGAGGGTAAGGAGCCCCTGGCTGATGTCGTGCTGGTTGCACGTCAGTTTATGAGGGAGCCTGAGTGGGTGCTGCGTGTTGCGTGGCAGTTGGGTCTTGATGTTGCGTGGCCGAACCAGTTTTTGAGGGTTAGGTTTCCCAAGTTGTGAGGGGAGGATGGGTGCTTTTTTTTTTAGACATGAAGTTTCTTGTTCTGCTGTTCAAGGTAGAGATATCCTAGAGACGACTTTGTAAAGGAAGAATATAGAGCAATGGATAGAACTGTTAGCTTTCCGCTGAAACCCCCATTTTTACTGTGCCTTTCGTAAACGCTCCTGCTTAGACCTTACATACGCGTAACAAATATGTCATTTGCTCGAGAAAGTATCCAAGACACCAATCCACCCAAAATCCCTCGTTGAAAAACACCTAAAATACCCTCATCAAGGCCACGGCGGATCCTCAATCCTCCTAAAGCACGCCACAAACTTCAAACCCTTATTCCTCTCCACCTTCTTTCCCTCCTCCGTCTCCACCCGCATCGCCTTGACACACTCATCCATGCCCTCCCCACTCTCGCCCTCCCCCTCCTCGAACTGCCGCTCCACCCGCTCAAAACTCGGATGCTTCTCAAAATGCTCCTTCATCCACTCGTGCAGATCCTGCACATCGGTAATCGTGTACACGACGCCACCGGGACGCAGTACGTAGGCGTACTCTGAGTTGAGCGTGTACGACACGATGCGAGCCTTGTGCTTGCGCTGCTTAAAGTGGGGGTCAGGAAAGCAGAGAAAGATCTTGGAGAGTTGGCCTTTTTGGAAGAAATTGGGGAGGAATTTCATCGTGTTGGCGCGGATGCAAGAGGCGTTTTGGTAGCCGTTTGTTGCGGCGTTTTGGATACGCAGAGCGCGGACTTTTTCTTGCACGTACTCTGTGACTGATGTGCGAATTTCCATGCCTGAATTTCTTGTTTGTTAGTATAAGGCATATTCCTGCTGTGATTAATTTAAAAGGAAATGAAAGAAAAAAAGGGATAATAAATCGACAAGATGAAGGAGAATGTTACAGTACCTAGTATCAAAGTATCGGGAAACTTTGGCGCAAGGGCAAAAAGCAGGCCACCAAAGCCACACCCAATATCTGCAATCTCGACATTCTTCGTCACCTCGTTGAATTTCCGTTGCTCTTCTACGCTCACGTCATGTGACTCGCTCGCCGTCTCTCCTTCTGTTGCTTGCTTCTGATGTTTGGCGTAAGCGGGATACAGGCTGGCCCAGTCCATATCCGCGGGGCTCTTTGGACTGCGCCATTGTCAGCAAGCTGAAACACAACGAAAAAAAACAACAACAAGAATCACGAAAGCCACCGTACTATGTGAGAGAGTGATCCGAAAATGGGTTAGCATGGGCACGTTGTCTGTAGAATTTCTTCTTTGGCAGAGCTGCATTTTGTTCGTCGGCCTGCAACGACTTCTTGTACTCCTCGCGCCTCGTGCGCTTTGCTGGTTCGCCTGGCATGGTGAACTTTTTTTTCTGGGGCGAATGTACAGAAGTCGGCGGACAGACACAAGGTCGGGTCACGTCAAAAGGGAAATGCAGGTGCTGAGGTAATGGTAGATGGGTCACCACCTATCACGAAGCGAGGCCCTTGTGGATCAAGCTTTTTTCACTAGCTCCAGGGTCGCCGCTGGCCCACGACGTGTGGAGGAAACACAGCCGTTGGCGCCACAGTGCGTGCACAGATTCGATAGGTGACGTAATTCCGTCTCAATGTCTTAAGCCCCGTTGCTACAGAAATATGTACGGCCGTGTCGCACGCTGCATACGGTCCGTGGCCAAACTGATACCGTACAACAAACCCGATCCCCAGAGTGCGCCCATATGCTAAATCCATCCCAAGAAATGCAAATTCGTGTAATCGTTAACATCATCGGAACTCAATGGCGCCCTGACACCCAAAATCTTGGACGTGTTCTAATTGGAGCTTCTGGAACCTGGAGTCTGGTTAGCTACGTCCTGGCCAGAGTACCATGTCCCACACTTACTTCTCGCTCTTAGCATGGAAGTAGATGCCTTCAATGCCGCCAGACACTTGATTAAAGCAGATGTAGTAGAAGCCCTCAAAACTCGCGCCGCTTATTGTCCGGACTCGGTGGTCCGGCACAAGGAAATACTCTTTCCAGCGCATGAAGAGATGCTCCTTGTGCATCCAGTCCTTGGTCACCAGCTCGGGGCGCGACAGGTTCTTGGACAGCGGCTTATAAGCAGGGAATCGAGCCCAATGTTGGCGGTCAACCTTCTCATTGGAGCCCCATTCGGGATGTTGTGTAATGAATGTATACTTGCTTCCAATGATCTCGCCCTCAAAGTACGTGGTTAAGCTGGGATGATCCTCGGTTAACCCTGTGGACAAGTTAGTCTTTTGATCCAGGGTCACCATGGCAGTAGAACGGGTACGTACCTTTGATGCGCAAGTATCCACACATGAAGGACTCGCGCATATCGACATGTTTTATCTCGACTTCGACTTCGTATTTTTGACGATCGGACGTTTGGCTACCCACAAAGCGACTTCCGGGTCGGAGGAGGGATGACGAAGAATTTGGTAGAAACTGTCCTGCCATCAGCTAAGCTCATCAGATGCATGGTTACAACGCACTCTATGCGCAGGGAAGGGCGACGAGATGTGGTTGGCGAGAAGTGAAACAGGCGTAATGGCAGACTGTGGCGATGCCTGCGATGTGCGCTGCTCTTCGGAGCCGTCATCGGTAGCGGTCATGGGCGTGGGAATGTCCCGGGCTGGGGTCTCGATATCGGCGTTCGAGGGCTTGCTGTGGGCATCCGCTGGCGTCTGGCCATGTTCTGAAGAATCCTGGGGAGGTGGAGTGGGCTGCTGCATGGGCGCATGGGATGCACGACTGGCATCGCTGCTGTGGCTTGACAGTCGCAGCTGATTCAATTCTCGTGCAGTAAGGGAGCGCGATTCGTCTGGGGGACAGGTCGCGCGGCCGGCGATGCTCTCGTGCTCCACCGACGGGACCATGGCATCATCCGGTGTCGGCATCGTCCGCTCGAGTGGGGCGATGGTTTCACAAGGAGGGAGGCTGATTAAGCACACATGGGACGAAACAACGATGGGAGGGGTGGGAAAACAGTATAGTAGGAAGTTCAGGGTTCAAAAAGTCGTGGCGAGGAGATGCATGCCCGGGCTGGAACGGTGACTTGGACTCGGCGGCGGACGTGTCTAGGCGATGAGTGGATCCAAGGCCTGCGCCTCTGTTCGCGGGGAAAGACGCTAGCCTCACGTGGCATGACATGGGGCCCAAGCATTCAACCACGCCCATGGCAAGCTCCATTGCACCGGCACACGCATGCAAGAGCACGTCAACTTTGATGGATAAATTCGCAGACATGCGTCTATCTAGAATAACAAAACCTTATCCGAGCATGGGGCGTGCATGTCGTTGGTCAAAGGGCTAGTAGCTCCCTCGCCGACATGCGTCCAACGCCAATGTCTGCACGCCATTTTACGCAGAGCTGGGCATACTTGGATGCTACCAGCGTGGGGATTTGCCCATTCGCTTACTAGACTCCATGCGTCTGATCTTCCATCGGATGCAAATAATGATGCGTACGGTCTGCTATGGTTGTGGTGACAGCGCTTCTCCGGGAATCAGCGAACCCACAGGCCACACAGCCAGCCGTTATTAAAAGCTTAGATTGGCTTGATCTGTACCAGTATCAGAAAGTGTACATGACGTATCTGAGAGCGCACTTACCTTGAAGTGGAGGGCTATCAGAGAAAAGACAAGAGCCTTGAGATCTTGGACCAGGTAGTAGAAGACACGCAGACCTTCGGGGTCCGATGATTCTGAGACGTCCTGCAGCGATCCAATTTTTGCAGTCTAGCATTGTCAGTACGCTGTGGGTTGATACATCATGAGGCACCTACTTCAAAGGAGATGTGCTCGCTCCCTAACCGAATTTCCAGCTCTTGACGACCGTCCTTGTTCTTTTGAGGCCACTTTGTGTCATCTTCTCTGACCATCAAGTTAGCACAATGGTTTTCTCGGCGTATCTCCAATAGTGCCGTACTTGAGGATTTCGCTTTCTTTGACAATACGCTTGATCTCAGCCACCAAGATGTCGCTGACACACACTGAAAAGTTTAGTAAGTTTACGTCGTAGGGATTCAGCTCTTCATACTCTCTTTTCGGATCAGTGAGTCGTTGCGGTAGTTGGAGTTGTTTGCATAGCGTGCAGATGCGCTGCGGCCGTCTCCAAGAACACGAAAGTCAAACTCTGCACCGTGTCAGCGCTTCGTCGCTATCGGCCATTCTAGGATAATCACCAACCCAGAAACTCGTGTCCAAAGCGGCCTTGATGACCAGAGCTGCCAAAGCGTCAGTGACAGGCACGTGCTGGAGGTTCAAGTAGGCTGATGTACTAGTATCGCAAGTAGAATGGCTCATTGGTGCTCATGGCTGCGGTCACTCGTGGTCGAGGGAGACTCTGTCTTGTGTAATATTTATGTACGCGTCGGTTGGGTAGTTGTTGAGTCGTCGCCGCGTTCACGATCTTCGGTGGAGCACTCTACTAGTGTGAGGTGGTCTGTGCTACGACCATTTCTCGAGCAGACACCTGGACGTATACACATGAACCCCGACAACGGAAGCGCTGTACCTTGGGAACCAAAGAAGCCACCTCTCCACCCAAGGCCACTCCATCTCCTCATCCATTCCGCCCGGCTGCGGCCACATCAGCCCGCACAACGCTCCCTACCACCGCACTCGATCAAAACACGTAGCATCCCACTTATTCTCGACACCCAGGAAAAGTGAGCATTGACGGCCGCCACGAGAACCACGCCATTGTAGCTGGATACTTCAGGACTCACAGGAAACCGCCTACGCCAGTCACGCGCCATCATGGCGACCTTTCTAGAGAACTCGTACAGTCTGGTACGAACACCTGGCAGTGCGTGGAGCTGGGCGAAGCTGACGGAGCGCAACAGGTGCACCAGGACAATGCAGCCGATGTTCCCGCCCAGAATGAACTCAAGACTGCCCTCGAGAAGGGCAGCGATGAGCAGAAGATCGAGACCATGGTGCGCCCTCGCAATTGCAACTGCCCCGCCTTGGTCCAGCTGGCCGTCTAACAACCCGACAGAAGAAGATCCTGTCCATCATGCTCAATGGCGATCCTCAGACAGGGCTTCTCATGCACATTATCCGATTCGTCATGCCCAGCAAGTCAAAGCCGCTAAAGAAGCTCATGTACTTCTTCTTCGAGGTGTGCCCAAAACACGACGCTCAGGGCAAGCTACGTCAGGAGTGGATATTGGTCTGGTAGGTGTATATGTGTGCGGGATACAAGACAAAGGGAGTATGGTCGCTGACAATGGTATAGCAATGCGATTCGATTCGACTTGCAGGCTCCCAACGAATATGTACGAGGAAACACATTGCGCTTTGTGTATGGCTCCCGACAACACTTGCTTGAGCACTGCTGATGCATTGAACAGAACTAAGCTTCGGGATGCGGAACTTGTAGAACCATTGCTACGTAGGTGCTGTGGCAGTTGCAATTTCAGGCGCCATGCTGACCGCAATGCTAGAACCGGTGCGCCAGTGCCTCACACACCGACACGCATACGTCCGAAAGAATGCAACCTTTGCAATTGCATCCATCTTTACACATCTCCCCGAGCTTATGCCAGATGCGCCCGATCTCCTCGTAACATTCCTGGACGACGAAAACGATCCTACATGCAAACGCAACGCATTCGCCGCCCTCACCTCCGTCAGCCACGACAAGGCCCTCGAATACTTGAGCACAGTCTTTGATGCCATACCCAACCACGAGGAGCTTCTATTGCTTGCAGAATTGGAGTTTATTCGCAAGGATGCAATTGTCAATCCTTCAAACAAGGCACGCTATCTCCGACTGATATTCGACCTCCTTGAGTCGCAGGTATCGACCGTCATCTACGAGGCTGCACATGCGCTCACTACACTCACGAGCAACCCGGTCGCGGTCAAGGCAGCCGCTGGAAAGTTCGTCGATTTGGCCATTAAGGAACCGGATAACAATGTCAAACTGATAGTGTTGGAGCGGGTTGATCAACTGCGGCATAAGAATGAAGGTGTCCTTGATGACTTGACCATGGAGATTCTTCGTGTCTTGTCCAGCACCGACCTGGATGTTCGCAAAAAGTCACTCGGTATCGCCATGGAGATGATTTCGAGCAGAAATGTCGAAGAGGTTGTCCTCTTGCTCAAAAAGGAGTTGATGAAGACGGTGGATGAACAGTACGAGAAGAACTCTGAGTACCGATCACTGCTCATCTCTTCGATACACTCGGCTGCCATCAAGTTCCCAGAGGTCGCCGCCAGCGTTGTCGGATCGCTCATGGACTTTATCTCGGATGTCAGCAGCAACGCCTCTGCGGTAGACGTCATTTCATTCGTAAAAGAGGTTGTCGAGCGCTTCCCCGACCTCCGAGTCTCCATCATTGAGCGACTGGTATCGACACTTGGTGAAGTACGCGCTGGCAAAGTCTACAGAGGTGTGCTCTGGATTATTGGAGAGTTTTCTCTGGAAGCCAAGGACATCAGGGACGCCTGGAAGGGCATCCGATCATCACTTGGCGAGATCCCAATCCTCGCCTCTGAGCAAAGGTTACTCGACGAGGCTTCGGAAGGCAAAGAATCGTCTGACCAGGTCAACGGGCACGCAAAATCAGCTGCTCCAACCGGATCACGAAAAGTGCTTGCTGATGGAACGTACGCAACCGAAAGCGCTCTCACATCGTCGGCTGCCGCCAAGGCAAAACTCGAAGCGGTCAAGAACTCGCAGAAGCCTCCACTCCGACAACTTCTCCTCGATGGCGACTACTACCTTGCTACGGTTCTGTCGAGTACCCTGACTAAGTTGGTGATGCGGCATGGGGAGATCTCGACAGATGCTGCACGCACAAACGCCCTTCGTGCAGAGGCCATGCTGATTATGATTTCCATTATCCGTGTAGGTCAATCACAGTTTGTCAAGACCCTGATCGACGAAGACTCTGTCGATCGTATCATGTCATGCGTGCGCTCGCTGTCTGAGTTTGCGCAAAGAAAGGAAATTCAAACAGTGTTCCTCGAGGACACGCGGAAATCATTCCGAACAATGGTGCAAACAGAAGAAAAGAAGCGAGCAGCCAAGGAGGCTTCAGAGAGAGCCAAGTCAGCTGTCAACGTTGATGACGCCTTCAACATCCGCCAACTGAAGAAGAAGGATTCAGACGGTATTGATGAGATTGATCAAGATTTGGAGAGAGCTACCGGAGGGGACAGCGCGACCGAGGATCTCACCTCGAAACTCAGCCGTGTTGTACAACTCACAGGTTTCTCTGATGCGGTGTACGCAGAAGCTTATGTCAAGGTAACGCATAATGTTGCTAGTAGGGCAAAGGCATGTGCTAATGATTGCAGGTCCATCAATTTGACATTGTGCTCGATGTGCTACTTGTGAACCAGACGACCGAGACGTTGCAGAACCTTACGATTGAGTTTGCGACACTGGGCGATCTCAAGGTAGTCGAACGGCCTTCGACGCAAAATGTCGGTCCTCACGACTTCATCAACATCCAAGCGACGATCAAGGGTAAGACGATTGTGCCTGTGTTGAGACGAGCCTAAAACGCTGACTTGACTAGTTTCATCGACGGACACTGGCGTCATTTTTGGAAACATCATCTACGAAGGGTGAGTGCAAGAGTGTGATGGTTCATGAGAGCGCGGGGCTAATGCATAGCAGTGAAAAGGGTGTCGACTCGAATGTCGTTATCCTCAACGACGTGCACGTGGACATTATGGACTACATCAAGCCAGCACAATGCACCGAGACGCAGTTCCGCACCATGTGGACCGAGTTTGAATGGGAGAACAAGGTCAACATCAACTCCAAGGCCAAGAGTCTGCGCGAGTTCTTGAACCAGCTCATGGCAAGTACCAACATGAGCTGTTTAACGCCCGAGGCATCGATGAAGGGCGACTGCCAGTTCCTATCGGCGAATCTGTACGCAAGAAGCGTTTTTGGTAAGTCCCGCTTCCTCCCGCAGTATTGGCAATGGCTAACCCAGTCCAGGTGAGGATGCTTTGGCCAACTTGAGCATAGAAAAGGAAGGAGACAACGGACCCATTACCGGCTTTGTGCGCATACGTAGTCGCTCGCAAGGCCTGGCACTGAGCCTGGGATCACTGAAGGGCCTCAACAAGGTTGGCGTAGCATGAGCGGGTATTTACATATGAGAGGCTTGCAGAAAAGGTATAGGGCTTACTCGACGGTTGGGCTAGCATGGCTCGAAAATGGGCTACGTGATAAGAGACTAAGGTTAATATGGCTTTGGTAGCGAGAAGACGAGAATAAATCAGTTCACCATCATTGTCGGCCAATCAGCAGTGGGCCTCGGTTGAGCAACGCAGGGTCCATTGGCCCATTCCCTGTCTCCTGTTTAGCATCAGACCCGCCCCGTCTGATCCGCGCGTCCACGCATCTGAGCGCGACCGAGCGACATCACTCTCTAATTAATATAGCCTGTCGCAGGCCCTCGGTGATTCAACTTTGCGAGCAGCATGCTGTGTGATCTCCATACAATCCAGCGATAATCATGGCCTCCACTGCTGGTGCAGGCGATGCCTTTACAGAACCTACCGTCCCTCTGATTGCTGATGACGCTCCCGCGCAAGCACCGCAACCATCAGAGCCCCACGAGCGCATCAATGCGCCCGACTCGCTCGCTATTAACAGAGATGCTTCGCTGACTCTGGGCACCGATTCCCTTGTTGTTTTGGGTATGATGCAGTCGGCAGACACTCAGTGAACCCCTTATGACTGACACTGGACAGACGAAGCCCTCGTAGATACCAAGAGCGCCAATTGCTGTAACCTCCCTCTTCCTGGCAGTACGCACCATCTCTGTAACGTACAGGCGCACAACATCGGCTGATATTACGCAGAGAAGAAAGCCACTCGCTCGATACCCTTTTACAACGTTCTCTGGGCCGAGCTCGCGGACGGCGACAATATTACTATTCAGTATGCGCAGACGGTATCCAACAAATCCGTTCGCCCAGCCACAATCAGTTACCACGTCGATAAGCCCGACAGCCAGTTGATACAAGCATGGATAGAGAAACTTCTGGATCGCGCATACGGAGCGTCGCAACGGCGAAAACGGGTTAAGGTGCTCGTCAACCCGTTTGGAGGACAGGGCGGCGCTGTCAAGATGTACAACAAGCAGATTGCGCCCATCTTTGCTGCTGCAAGATGCGAGCTGGACGTGGATAGGACGACGCATAACGGACACGGTGTAGAGATTGCACAGAACATGGACATTGACGCATTCGACGTCGTGGCGTGTTGTTCTGGAGACGGCATACCACATGAAGTCTGGAATGGGCTGGCCAAAAGGCCAGACGCTGCGAGAGCCCTGG